TGTTATTGTTAATGGTGCATTTATAACTTAAAAATCAGTCTGACTCCAGAGATTTTGTTCATTTTCAGCATACCATACCACCTAAAATTTTGATACAAATAACTCTGAATGAAAATAATCCCTCTGTTACCTTTAAAAAGGAGGTCTGGTGTCACAGTGGTTAAAGTGCTAGCTGCCAACTGAGAGTTGGTGATTCAAATCCACCAGTCACTCTGTGGAAGAAGAGACGTGGCAGTCTTTTCCTAGGACGACTTACAGCCTTGGAAACCCTGTGAGGCAGTTCTGTTCTGTCCTGTAGGTTTTCTGTGAGTTGTAATCCATGGCAGTGGGTTTGGTTTTGCCTTTCATATGATGAATACTAGCCAGAATTTTTCTTAATAAAAATAATATTTTTAAGGTACAACCAATCCAAAAGTGAGTTTTCACTTATGACTAAAGACAATAGAAATATTCACATCAGCACATAGTAGGTTGCCAATGAATATTTGTTGGATGGACAAATGAAATAAAATTGTAAATAAATTGACTTAAGGGAAACTCAGCAATTCTTGTTCCAGTAGGTTTTGGATATACTCTACAGTACTGTCACATGGACTGGTTTTACCTGCATTAGTCTAGCGGGGACACTTCTCTATTTTGTTTTATTTTTTTATGATAAGAGGGGGAAAGTCTCTAAATGTGTTACATTTTAGACTTATTCCATGAAAATTGTACGTAACTGGAGGCTCATTTTTCTTCAAACTATTCTTTTATTTTTGGTAATCTCATCTATCAGTTGGATTTTTCTTTAAGACATAATTTTGATCATGGCTGATAGAGTGGTAAGTTAAACCTGAGTTGTAACCAGGTTTAAGTTAAAACCTTTTGCTTTGAGTCAGAAGTCAGAAGGTTGAGCTATAATTATTTAAACATTTTCTTCATAGAATGTGTAATGTGTATATATGAGAAAAGAGACCATTAACTTTAAATTTTTTCTTTTTACCAAACAGAGTGATCTCCTCATTTCTCTGTTGTTGTTGTTGTTATGTGCCATCAAGTCGGTTCCAACCCGTAGTGACCCTGTATAGGATTTCCAGGGAGCAGCTGGTGAACTTGAACCACCAACCTTGAGGTTCAAACTGACATTGCAGTCCAGCACATTAACGCACAGCGCCACACCAGGACTTCTACTTATTTCCCCTCCACTTTAGCAAAAGAATCATATCTGTTTCTAAAATAACCTTAAAGATTTTACATAAGTGAAAACACTTTAAATAATGTGGGTGCCTTTACCTTTTTTTCCTCCAAAAAAGTAGAGAACATTCCTAGTTTTAGAATCGCCTTTTTATTTTACATAGAGATCACCTTAGCTGACATCTTATATTGTTTCTTATAAAATCTGCATGTTAAGTTTACTAGTAGTGAAGGGAAGTTAGAAGTACACTTTGCGGGGTTATAAGTGAATAACCAAATATGTGCCAAGCAGTGGTATTTCACTTAGTTAGTGTTAACTTCTGTAAAAATGCTTTAGAAACTAGCTATCAGAACATTTTTAAAGATAAACATGTCTTATGCTTCTCAGTTGAAATACTTTTTTTCTCTTTTGCTAAATTTCTTTTCTTTGTTTTGTAGATGAGATCACTGCCAGTTTTCGCAGGTTTGGACCTCTTGTGGTAGATTGGCCTCACAAAGCTGAAAGCAAGTCCTATTTTCCTCCTAAAGGTAATTCTCTTAAAATGTTTCCACCATCTGCCTGTTGGAGAGCTAGCGTGTTCTTTCAATAAACGGCAGCCTTTTAACTCTTGAAATAGCAGTTTATTCCACCCCCCCCCCAATTAAGACGTTGATCATCCTTTTGTGTGGTACGGTTCATATGTGGGGAACACTGACTGCTTCGTGGCCCTGTGTTATTGACAGTGAGGTGCCCTGTGTGTCTGTTGTGGATGAGTCATTTTTGGAGAGAAGTAATCTAGGATTTGAGGAATGTCAGTGATGGGAAAGGAAAAGATTATGTAGTGTCAAGTTTTATTTGTATTCCTATAAGGCCTGTGGTTTCACAGATTTTATAAATCCCATGCTTGGAAAACCTAGTGATTGAAGAATAGCATTCTTTGAAATAATCTTTATATACATGTGGATCTTAAGCTGCTTATTCTATTTGAGGATGTAGAGCAAATTAGCAAAGGAGTCTTCCAGCCACCTTGCCTGCTTTATTTTTGAAGACTCTTTTGATAGTTTATGAGGAAATATATTGTCATTTCTACTAAGTCTAGGGAATTTTAGGTGGGTTTCACCCTTGGTATGTTCCCTAGATTTATATAAAACAGTGCTTTGGGTTAAAGAGCAAGTATTCTTACGTTTTGTGCTTTAGTTGTATTTCAAGAATGCTTTTTATTTCTACAGTATTATTTTTTAAATCAGGATATTTTTAAAATTCTACAGTATTATTTTTTAAATCAGGGTAACTCAAAAAGTATTGCTTGGGTAATAGTTTGTACATGCATTAGTTTATTCCAACTAAAAAACATGTCTTAACAGGTCTCTGTGATCACAGGATAGCTGCAGACAAGTTCTCACAGCAATACACTTGTCTTAGTCTCGTTAGAGTGCCTGAAAAAAACAAAAAAGCCCAATAAAAGTTGTGGCTTCCCAGGGCATCTGCTGGGCTAGTTAAATTCAAGACAGAAAGATCAGCTCCAGAAGCTCATGCCAGGTGTTTTTTGAGTTTCCAGAGGGATAAACTTTTTAAAAAATTTTTAACAAACAGAAATTTATTATCTCACAGTTTAAAAAGTTAGCAATTCAGATTTAAAGTTCCAGCTCTAGGTGAAAGCTTTCTCTTTGTTGCCTCTGAAAGGTTCTCATCTCCTTTCAGCATCTGTAGGCTCAGCATTTCTTGTTTTTGTTGTTGTTAGGTGCCATCGAGTCAGTACCGACTCATAGCGACCCGATGCACAACAGAACGAAACACTGCCCAATCCTGGGTCAACCTCACAATTGTTGCCACGCTTGAGCCCATTGATGCTGCCATTTTGCCAGTCCATCTTGCTGGGGGTCTTCTTCTTTTTCTCTGACCCTCCACCTGACCAAACGTGATTTCCTTCTCCAGCAACTGGTCCCTCCTGACAATATGCCATAGTATAAGAGACGAAGTTTGGCCATCCTAGCCTTCAAGGAACACTCCATATGTCTTGACATCAGTCTTCCCAAAGCAGTAATCATGGTAGATTATCTTGAAGTACATAGCACTATCATGGTCTTCATGAGGAAGTTTTAAGAAAATAGAAAACTGCATTGGTGAGAAAAAGGCCAGGAAAGTTGTTTAGAAGAATTTCTTTTCTGTCACAGTTCCCCTGCTCATTCTTTGAGAGTAGCAAGGACTACCTTACAAGAATTTCATAGGGAAACTTTATGCCATACACCCTACAGCCCTGATCTTGCCCCATTTAGAATTCCTTTTGTCTCCAGACACAAGTAACATAGTTTTAAGTCCCTTGAGGATGTCCAAATGGCCCTTCTGACATTTACAATAAAAATGTAAATCTAGGAATGCAGAATACTTTCAGGGATAGGTTAGAAAGTTGGAAATGTCATCTACAGAAACTTATAGACCTAGATGTAGGATATGTTGGGAAACAATAGCTTAACATTTAAAAAGAAAAAAAAAATTATTAATAAAGGGTTCTTTCTATATGTGGAAGTCACATTGTGTGGCACTATATGATAAGCACTGGACTTTTAATTGCAAGGTTTGGAATTCAAACCCACCAGCTACTCCTTGGAAATCTGAACAGGGTCACTATGAGTCAGAACTGATCTGACAACACTGAAAAACAACATGCTTTTGTAGCAATATTTTTTGACTTACCCTTCTATGTGTTATTGTAGGACATTACATCAAGAAGGTGGAATCAAAATGTTTGTCCTTCCTGTATGTTGTTCAGGAATCATAGTTTAATGTGGGAAAGGAAATTCATTTTCTTTGATGACTGCTTTATTAGATTTCTCTGTCGTTTGTCACTTCTTTTCACCCTCTTTGTTGTTGTTAAGTGCTATCAAGTCAGTTCCGACTCACAGAGACCCTGTGAGGATGGCTGTGAGTTTGAAACACCAACCTTTTGGTTAGCAGTCCAGTGCTTATCCTAATGTGCCATACTAGGACTCCTCCATCCACTTTATAATCCATGAAAATAAGTTACTGTCAATATGGGACTGTTTTGCTTTTTTCATTCTTTTGCTAATTCTCTATAGGAATTTTAAAAGTTAACAAAATTAAGTGTATTAGTTAGAAAAGATAAAAACCGTCATGCTGAAATGATTACAAAAAATGATTCCAGAATTAAAGATGGCAGCTGATCATTATAAAAAATAAAAATGAAATCGTATATGGTCATGTCCAAAGAAAAGAGTATGCATTTTCCAAAATCTATGGCTGCTAGAGATCTCTCTCTATATATTTTATTAAATATTTTTTCTGATACTTTTAATGAACGTACACATTTATATGAAAATTATAAGTTTGCATAAATCAGATTTGGCTATACAAGCTATTCTATAACCTTTTATTTGCCACCACCAATGCCAATATCTTTCTGTAACAAACCTATATTATCCTTAATGGCCTTAGTTTATTTAACCTCCTCCTATTAATGGACATTCAAGTTGCTTCTAGTTTTCTTTCATCAATCAAGTTTCTGTGTCTTCATCTTTTGTACCCTTGTAATTACCTCATAGGGAAAATTTCTAGAAGTGAAATAACATGTTCATGAAATATATATTGCCAAGCTGCTTTTTGAAAAGTTTGTATACATTTATGCTCAGTTTCGTTGTTGAGAGCCTGGGGGAAATGGTCCTTTCCTCATTGCCAGGCTGATATGGTATATAATAAACTTTTTTTCCTTTGGTATTTTTCCCTTTCTTTTTACTTGTATGATGCTGTAGGATAAGCACTAGACTACAAAGTCGATTTGAACCTCAAGGTAGTTATTCAAACCTACCAGTAGCACCTCAGAAACCCTATATAGGGTGGCTATGAGTCAGAACCAACTCAAAGGCATTTAACAACAATAATGACCTGTAGAGATTGTGGTACCATGACTATATATGGTAAACATAGAGTTATAGAACATTCGAGCTTGTGCCCTTGTGTTGAAGCTGAAGTTAAATGTTGGGATGGATCAGTTAGAGCCAGGCCAGGAAGATAAGCTGGATCTCCTGATTCTGGTCTTCTGATTTACAACCTCAAAGAGTTTTCTGATGATTAGGTTCAAAACCCCAAAACTCAAATCAGTTGCCTTTGACTTGATTTTATCCCTATCAACTATAAAGAATAGAGTAGAACTATCTCATGGGGTTCCCAAGGTTCACCAGGCACTCTATTGGGGGGGAGGGGGAAGATGTGGCAGTCCGCTTTCATAAAGATTTGTATCTTTCTCCCACAGAGTGATTGGTGGGTTCAAATTGTTGACTTTTTGCAAGGGCCACTTACCATTGAATGCTTCCTATTGTAGCACCAGGGTTCACAATTATGCTCAGGGTTCATATTATACTGCTAGTTCCTGTTGTGCTTTGCTCTTAGCTAGAATCTCATGGTTGGCCTAGTTTGGCAGATGGAGGATGTGGCATGGCATCTATCTCTCCCCATCTGTGCTTCCTTGCTTCTGTGCCTAATCTTCTTTTATTTCTCAGAAGAGATTCGTTTAAGTGACACTCTGTATACCCATATGACCTTATTTCCAAATGGATTATACCCACAGATATAGGGATTAGCACTCTAAAACATATTTTCTGGAGAGGTTTAATCCATAAAAATAGCAAATTGTGGTTGGCTCTCTAAAAGAAAAATAGAGAATGCTGTGCAGAACTCTAAAATGGGAGACCAGTTTAGATGCAAAATGTGAAAATAATTTCTCTGAAAAGATGGTATTTAAGCAGAACTGAAAAATGAAGAGTTAGCTAGAAAGAGTAGGGAAGTAAGCAAATTCTAAGCAGAAAGATGATATATTGGAAAGACTGAATGTGAAAAGAGCTTTAGCACTTTTGGAGAAATGGAGGATAGTTGGGATGTTGCAAATGAAGTGAGAGAGGAAAAGATAGGAAAGGAAGGGACTTTAAGAAGCTCTTATATAGATATTTAATTTGGTCTAATCCTGCAGAGTGTGAATGTGAAGCATCTCTGTGTGGTGCATGTCTTTGGGTGAAGGACTATGTGGTCAGGTCAAGAAGTTAAAATCCTCTCAGACAGCTATTGATTCAATTGAAGGAGATCTTGATATTTCATTTCTGTACATATTTCTTGATGATAAACCAGATTCTAGTCAAAATATTTAGGAAAAGCTTCCAGAGATTGCATCCATGTATATATTTTTTAGTTCTGGAATTTGTTGTTGTTGTTGCCAAGTGCCATCGAGTTGGTTCTGATCCACAGCAACCCTGTATAGGGTTTCCAAGAAGTGGCTGGTAAACTTGAACCTTTGACCTTGCAGTTCAAACCAACATTGCAGTCCACTGCATTAACCCACAGTGCCACATCAGAACTCCAGCTCTGGAATAGTATAATTGAAATTATAAATCTTGGAAAGAGAAGTTCTCCCAAATGTTAGGGCATGAAGCAAATTCTATACACCACTCTGATTTATAATGTTAATCATTGTCAATATGTTATAATAGCTTGGGTGCAAGTACTTTGAAATTAGTTACTGAAAAATGAGAGTGCAGATGAT